GACTGCGGGAGCAGGCGCGGCGGCTGTGGCGGCGAGGATGTCGCAGCCGCCGCTGCTCCCCGCCTCGGCGGAGACTCGGAAGTTCACGCGGGCGCTAAGTAAGCCGGGCACGGCGGCGGAGCTGCGGCAGAGCGTGTCGGAGGTGGTGCGCGGCTCGGTGCTCCTGGTGAGTGCGGGACCACGGAGGGAGGGGACCGGCGAACGGCCACCTCCTTTACCGTCCTCTAGGTCGGCCGGGCCTCGGCGGGGCTACCGACCCTGCTGGGTCTGCAGGATTAAGAGGTGGTGGGGAGGAGGGGGGTGTTGTACAAGGGAGAAGGGGAGGTCCTGGAGGGGCAGCAACTTCCATATCGCTACCCGGCGTCCAGGGGTCCTCTCCCCACTGCTGCCCGTTCCCTACTGGGAAATTTCCTGGGAGTGAGACCGCCGTCTCCCTCACCATCCTCCCCCACCAAGTTTACCTCCCTCTGTCAGCTGAGATATTACCCTCTCCTTTCCCCCCATCCTTCCCACAGCCCCTTTCTTTCTGAAGGGGCTTGGCACCTGTGGCCTGGAGGGGCACGGGGAAGTGGAGGTGGTGGCTTCCTCTTCCAGTCCGCAATCCATAGTGGGTGATGACCCTGGGGACCCTTTGGGTGGGCAGAAAGATTTCCTCTTCCTTCTCCTACCCGGCATCCTGAGATTTGACCGCCTCTTATGACGGATTAAGGGGCTTCATAGGAACCCTCGGTGATTTCACCATTGTTGCAAATTGCTACGAAGTTTGGGGATTTGGAGCAAGTAGCCTGAAGATTAATCTGATCGTTGCAGAACGGCTTTGGAGAATAGGCCTCGGGGTGTGAGGAAGATGAAGTTTTAAATCAACTTTTCCACAGCTGGGCTGGTCCTGCTATATTTGGAAACGCAGTACACTCGGATCACTTGGATGGTGTGAGAGAGGAGCGATGTTTGAGCAGCAGCATGCTCTTCTGGGCACATGGAACTTTAACAGCTTCTTGTTGGTGCTGGCATTTGTTTTTTTTGAAGGGGGCTTGTTTGTGCGTGGATGACTTGTGCTTGTTGGGAAGGGTGCAAGAAGATGGGCCTTGGAAGTAATTTTCTGGGCTTTGTGGGGCTGTGTTGGAGGGTATTGTCCTGGTGGAGTGCCAGGTCCCTTAACACAGGGCCTGGGTCATCTTTTTGGTGGCAGATAGATGCTCTTCCTGGGTAGACACAGAATGACACGAATGATGTTTGTGGAGATTGGAGATGAAGCTTCACGTATTTCCATAGCTAGCCTGCTCAGTTTGCGTTTTCTCTGTTACTCTGCCACCTCACTCTAGATTCCTCAAACTTCAATTTGTTCAGTAATAAGGAATTTTATTTTTCTCTTTTACTAAAGTTGATCATTTGATGGTAAGGAGTAGAGCAGGAGTTGAGAATAGACTAGAACCTGGGATCTCTTTCATAACCTGAATTAACTTCATTTGCTTTGGCCTCAGTACTGTGTCCTGCATCTTTCTGACTTGCTGTTGTGTGTATGTTAAGGACAGAGCCTGCAAACATCTGTGGCATCTTTCTTGTTCTCACAGGAAACTTAGTTCTTTTACCTGGGGGCACTGTCCTCATCAGAGATTTGAGACAAAAGAAGAGTAAATAGACATATGGCTGTGCCATGATATTTCCAAAGTGCAACAGACCTGGACTGAAGAGGAGGTACTAGTTTAATAAGCCATTAGGTTGAGCACAATACTGCTAATTACTGATGTGCAGCAGTCCTTGAATTGGACAGTCCTTCCTGTTGGAGGCTGGCCTACTGATGGTGACCCAGTAGTGTCCATTCCTGTGTATGACTTACTGCTACTCTGTTACCTTATGACACTTTAATAATAACATATGTTTTCCCTGGACACCGTTAACCACGAACAGCCAGACGTTTGACTGTGTCTCAGCCCTTAGTGTTTTCTGTCTGTGGTCACTTGTCTGATGAAGCAAACACAGAATGCAGGAAAGTAGGTGGGCATCCTTGGTGTGTGAGAGGCTCTCTGGCTGATCGGGAAATACATTGCAGTGGTTCTACATTGCAGATGGAGGAATTTGGAATAGCTTACAGATACTAAAAATTACCTGTCAACCTCACCCCCCTCACCTCCTGCCAGGTACTCTGCTACTACCTGCTGCTTCTCGCTGCACCATAGTGTCTGCCGGGAAGCCACAGTAGGTGCATCTGTCTCGGCTAGCAGGATCTAAGAAGGTACCCCTGATCCTTGCAGGAGGCAGAACCGCAACCAAGCCAGGGTTTGGAATCCCGTGGTCAACTGACCTATGCTTGGATGGAAGTATTACTCTGCCTGACGACTTTGGTCAGTGTTGATACACGGCCTACAGCGTAGTAAACATGCAATAAATACTCTTAACTAGCTGGCTAATAAAGCAGTTCTGCAGATGGACTAAAAGAAAAATGAACAGGGTAAGTAAGGATTTAACTAACTCTTCTTGTGCTTCTAGTATTGATGAGTGGCTGTTAGTGATCCAGAACAACAGAACTGAATCGTTCAGTGAGTAACAAAGGCTGCCATTTAAAAAAACAAACTTTAGAATGTAAAAGTGAGATGTACTCATAAATTTTTCATTCTTTGAAAGCTTCATTTTTCATAGGCTTAGGTTTGTGGGGCTTTAAAAATGATATTATATTAATTTGTTTGAAGACCTTGAAAATAAACATACAAAAAAGTGGAGAGAATAGCATAGTGAACCCTCATAATCCATCAGCCTGATTCAATAATTATCAAGATTTTGCTAAACTTGCTTTAACTGTTCCCTTTTTTCCCTTTTTGGGTGATAGTGAATTCCATCATTTCACCCCTATATACCCAATATGTATTGTTAAAAATAGTGGTATTTTATTACATAACTATAATGCTGTTATGTTAAAGTTAGCAATAATCTGTTGGTATACTATTCAGATTTCCCAGATTGCTTAAGAAATATCTTTGGTAGTTTCTGTTCTAATCAGGATCCAAATAAGTTTTGCTCGCCTTTTCAAAAATGAGCCTTAGAATTATTCACGATGGCGTGAACCTTCCCTGGGGTCTGGAGTTTTAATCCTAGAGGTTTAGTGGGTTAGAGCACCTGGGTTGTAATGCCAGCTTAACCGCTTACCAGCTGTGCAGTCTTAGGCATGTAACAGCCTTGCTGTGCCTCGGTTTCCCCATTTATAGAGTGGAGATAGTAATCATACTCACCTTATAAAATTGTTGGGAGGATTAAATGAGCAGTAGAGGTAAAGCGCTTAGACAGTGCCTGGCTAATATTCTTATAGCTACTTAAGTCACACTGGACTATTGCTTAACTTCTCTGAACCTCCAGGCTCCCTCCTGTTCTGTTAAATGAAGGGCTGTACTGGATTGCTCTAGAGTCCCTTTCCCTACCAACAGGCTTCAGTTCTAAGCTACTTTTATAGGAGTAGTAGAGGTACTACTGGTAATACTCCTAACAGTAGGAAAAGTAATTTACAAATTTGCATAATGAAAGAATCCTCACAATTTCAGAATTACCTTTCCATTTTGAAAATAGTCAGGAGGGCAATATATTCAAAATATACACAAGCTCAGAAGAAAAATTAGGAATAATTCCCTGAGCAGGGTTGAGCTGTAATTGGGTTTTTCATATATATTAAAGTTAACATCGTAATGGCCTAGATCTGAGTATACCACCCAAGGCCTAAAAATATCCTTTCTCTGAAAGATTTGTGTAAATGTCGGGACCCAGCCCTTTGCATGGGTTTGCTGGCTCTGTTGTGCTCAGGTCCTGATGCCCAGGTCATCTGGCTGCCAGCTTCCTCGCCAATCTTATCTTGGCGAGCTCAGCCTCAGACTCTCCTTCACATCAGGCCCCCACTGGTGACACCATTCTACAGCCATCCGAGGGCCCGCAGTATGAGATGAAATGAATCCAAGTCAGGCTTCAGGAACTTTTCCTTTGTGTAACTGGAGGATGACGGACAGAGGTGTGGGGTGATAACCTCCCAGAGTGCGTACTTGGAGCCCCCCTCACCCTCCCAGTTCAGTGAACACGAGATTCCAGTATGATCTGAGGCAACCTGAGACCCGAGGGGGACTGTTCTTTGAAATCCTCAGATAACGTAAAAC